CACGTTGATCCTGCCAATGTATGCTACATTTCGAAGTATCTAAGCTCAACCGAATTCGATAAAGCAACTGAGGTAGATTAATTACCTTACCAGAGAAGATTTTGTGGCTTCTGAGAATAGTAAGATTGATCGATCTCACGACCTTAGCTGGAGACGACACTCCTTCTAATGTTAAGTATTTGTGTGCTAGAGCTAAGCACCCTCTTTCTTTATCTATCAGAGATAAGCTTAGAGAAGAATTCTATGATATTGATTCCCTCAGTGAGTCCTTATCCATTCATTGTATCATAGCCACTAGAGCCGTTTGCGTTTATCCCTCCCAAGTTTCTACATGCAAGCAATACTTGACTCAAATTGGTGCTGATGATATCGCTATCGCTTCAGGTACGTGGATTCCTTCAGGTAAACTTTAGTCGCTACTGGATTTCCTTCTGGGCAGTACCATTTGAAAACGAGGATAGCTGAGATAGAATCTGCGGTATCCGACGGCGCTACTGAAATTGATGTCGTGATAAATCGGACTTATGCATTGCAGTCAAACTGGAAAGTTGAGTCATACAATTGTTAATTCTGGATGTGATTCTTATTGATAAAGTTAAATTGCTCGGCAGTCAGGTCTACAATGTGTTATGGTTGAGCCTGTGTATTTTTTCTGAGTCCTTTTAGCCTGCCTAAATGATTACTCAATCATTGAACACCTGTCTGCAATCAATGATGATCGGCAGCTTTATCAATTTGCTAGAGGTGCTTACATTGGCATGTCGCACAACTGACAGTAATATTCCACTTCAGTGGTCACCTTTTTTGGTATTTATTGCATCAATTATAAATTGTAATAATTCGAATGGTCGTCCAGACTCGGCTAAGACAATTGGGTTACTCTTTAAGCTATTAGTGGGTCATCTTAGTATGCCATTTTTTATTATTCTTCCAATCTATAAACATTGCAATCTGTCTTCGATCTACTGGCCATATATATATATATATATATATGCACACATGATTTTGGCGTTTTCCATAATATTTTCGAGGATCTTATTTTATTTTTCTCAACTTATTTATGCTGCTAACTTTTTTACAGGTGTATATGATGAAGTTTCTGCTATGCGACTGGCTTGCGGACCCCAAGTTCATTTGAAAACAATCTTAGCAGCTGGTGAATTAGGCAGCTATTCGAATGTGTATGCTGCCTCCATGACTTGCATGATGGCCGGCGCCGATTTCATCAAAACTTCAACTGGGAAAGAGTCTACGGTTAATGCTACTCTCCCAGTTGCCCTAGTTATGACAAGAGCGATTAGCGACTTTAAGGAGACTACTGGCATCAAGGTATACTTCTTTACTACATATTCGAATTCGCTCATACTATATTTAGTGCTTGCATCATATTTGATGTACGCATATAGTGTAAAGAGCTTGAAGTGATCGAGGCTATTTCATCTGATTCGCGTGATTTTTTTACATCTAATTCCAAGTAGCTGTGGTTTAATATGAAGGGAGTAACCGGTTTACATCTTTTGATTTACTATCGCTGGAAGTCTATCATTTCTTTTTCCCTCATTTTTCTTCGTATAGAGCTATTTTCTTTGTTACAGTAACCTTTAGAGTAATCAACTTATCCACCTTATATTGTGTTGGTAAGTTTTTTAAGTAAGGATTTGTCCTTTCGGGTTCGCACCGACATTCATTTTCATTGGCGGTGACAGCATCCTTCAGGCCAGTTCGCGGGATGGTGAAAATATCAACCTTTTTACACCGTTTACCCCACTTTCCTTAAAGATTCCTTATCTTATTATTTGCTTATCAATACTACAGAATAGTGAACCCCTGCTTCAGTTTTACACGCATCTTGTGTTTACGTAC